CAGCTGAAAAAAAAAAAAAAAAAAAACCACCAAAACAAGCGGGCAAACAAACGGACATCGATGATCTGTACTGTAATTTTTTAGCACAAAAAAAATGCATGAAAAAAACAGGTACACCAGAACTGCTACAGCACCACTATGAATGGCTCTTTTGTTACTTCGAGTTTTTGCTCACCTTCTAGCTAGATACTTCAGTGCGATGTGTGACTGGAGAACTCTCAAACTGTCAAAGCAAGGTAAAAACAATTAATGTGCTGCCAGTCTATCTATCCGATGAAAATCAGGTAAAGAGGGTACATCTACCAGAGAAGGCTTAGAATGAGAAGAGACTGACTATCTGTGTTTCGCATGTAGCGAGATTACAGAATTGAGAGGCCAAACCAAAACACCCCCTGTGATTAGAAAATTCCCTCGCAAAACATACCTCTTAGTTGTACGGTAAACAGACTGATTGCAAGATAAAGAAAGATTAGAATCCAGAAGGTAAAAGCAGCGAAGACAAGACGACCCATAGAGCAGCAGGCGCATGCTGCCCGCTCGCGCCTCACCATATCATCGTAATGAACGCCTGCAAGCATAACATTCCCCACTTTTGGCCTTGTAAAAAAATTAGCATATCCCTGAAGCAGCAATTTTTTGCAAAGAAGTCTGCATAGCGCATATGCAGCAAAACCCGTGTTGCCAGATGAACAAACTAAGTCACCTGAAAACGGGCACAACTTTGAACTTCTACTAGTGGCAGCTCATACAAGCACAGTGCATGAATGTGGCAAAAGCAGTGATGCCGAGCCACAACGACTGTATGGATCACAAGAACAGTCTATGGCACTAAGGCCTCCCAAATGTGATTTTTTTCGAGTTTTAAAATATTAGCTTGAATATGAATTGATTTCATGTTATTCACTTGAGGATGTATAAAAAGTTTCGATGCTGATAATTCAAAAAGACTAGTCGGGAATCACAACATCAAAATGAAATCAGATTTGAGGATGAAGAAAAAAATTCGTGAAGCCTGAAGTTTTGCTTATTATTACTTCATATTTTTCAATCAATAAAAGCACGAGCTAGCGAGTTCCAGTGTCAACGGAATTTTGGTAAGGTCAAGAGCCAGGAAACGAGAAGGACTGAGAACAGCTTTGTAGATCTGCGCACAGTTGAAAGTTGGAATTTGCCGGCTTTTGCCAAAATGTGCGCAAAAATCATTTGCTTAGTAGCAAGTACAGCAAAATGAGATACTGGACGACTTGCTTTTCTCCTGTTTTTTCTCTTGTGCACACAGAGTAAATCATTTGTAGGGCTGCGTAGTGTGGCTCACGCATTCCGGTCTGGTCTCTGGGAGACTGGTTCAGGTTAGGAAAACCAAGTAGTGAGGAATGTCCGATTTTGGCCAAAACACTAACTTTCAGGCATAAAATGTCCGTTAATTAAATTCGAGAGCTGAGAAGCAGAGAGCGTTGGAACACTGAAATACGAATGAGGAGAACAGGCGCTGATAACTGATAATTAGCAACAAGCACATGCAATCCTGCCAGCACACCAGTAACAGGCAGCATTCGTTTCTGATGCGTTCTGGCCAGTTACGAGCATCTTCGACACTGACAGCGGTCTGCAATTACAAAGCGCTCCGCCAAAAAGGTATCGTTCTTTCCACTACAGCATCTATTTCCAAATTACACATTCACTTGTGGGTAATACGCCATTTCCAAGCTTAAAAATGACCATTTCAAACGTGGTGACACATCCGACACACGGATAAGAGAGAAGAACGTTCAGATTTGATATCCCTTAGCCAGAACAGGCGCTCTTTTCTACTGAGTAAGGGAGGGGGGAGGAGCACCAGAGTTATTGCAGTCTGACTCACAAGATTCAATACCCGCCTTACCAATTTGGCGTCTAGTTTGCCCGTCTCACGATTCCAATTATCGCTCTCCTTCCCCATCCATCCTCTTTAAAGCTCGTTAGTATAACATTTAATTAATCATTCAGCAACTCTCTCACACTGAATATGCTCCTCTCCACATATCATGCCTCGCTTTCTACCTACACCGAATTTCTAAAAAATTTGTTCAATTGCAAAGAAAGTCAAGCACGGATTTCTTACATATAAGAAATCTGAAAATAAAACTTTGTATTTTCACTTTCTAATATAATAACAAGGCTGACATGGGAATACTAAAAAATATACACTTGAATATGCCAAAAAGGAGGGAGCCTTAAAGAAAAATTTTTGTTGAATTTTTTGTACAAAAAAATATTGGTATTTATGCGCCTAAATGTTTTTCCGGTAGAAAAATTCTGGACTTATCGCAAAACGAGGCAGATATACTGAAAACTATACAATTTAAGTGATTAATTTTGCGCTGAGCGCGCTAAACTGGCATCGTTTATACAATCGTTGAGAAGCTTATGGCGCTCCCGTGCATAGACTGTCAGCGGATTACAGTTTATGAATTCAAATTTGCACTCCATTTTCGAACAGCTCTAACAAACTAGTTTTTCGAAACAAAATGCAGCTGAAAAAAAAATTTAATTTTTAAAAGATAGGCTTTATAAGCTCCTCTCTTCCTCCTCTTTCCCCTTACGCCCTCCCTCACTACCTTTCCCCACCTCGTCGTTCCGCACATATCCCGCTTCGCTCTCAGAACGAGCGAATTACTGTAAAACAGATGTTCTAACTCCAAGACGGAAACAGCTTTCGGGGATTTACAAAATGTAAAATTCGCATGTTAAAAAATTTCCGAAAGTCTCAAAAAAAAAAAAACAATGCAAATAATTCTCAGGGCAATTTTTCATAACTGCTGAAAATTCCGTTTCGAATTATTTCGAAAAGATAACTTTGGAATCACCAAGTTCCAGCCTGAATTATCCCCCACAAACTGTCGACTACATATCCATTCGTCACGGCCTACAAAAAGTACGATATTCTGAGCTATTTCGAAGTTCAAGACGGTCGACACTGCAGCAAATACATGCAGTAAGCAGTAAACGGCCTAACTCCACTGTTGAGGAGTCCAAAAACATTAAAAAAATGTCGTGAATACCAATGCAACTACACTCCAGACAATCGCATAAACTACATAATATAAATCTCAATTTCAGAAGTTGGTGATAGTACAGCTGCGATCCCTGGCCCGATAAGTCCCCAAAAAGAGAGCACACACAAATCCGCTACTCAACCAAAAATCAACAAGACAAAATTCCCCTCCATGTTCACTTCCTGTGAGAGACAGAAGCACTCGGAAGTATTTCGAAAGCAGCAAGGATGCAAACAGCCGCCACCCAATGACAAGGTTGCCAGTGGCTCCCTCCATTACTCAGAATTCACTAATTTTATCTAGATTTAGTTTAATCTAGTCCTTCCAGTGCAACTGCGCAGTTCCGAGTTAACTAGGCGTCACTCAAATACAGAAGAAGAGGAAGGGGTACCGTCCTTCCTTCTCCCAGAACTTGTCTCTGAAAAGTGACATTTTGAGCGTTTCAGGAGACTACCTACTAGCAACGCATCGGCTAATGTTGTTTTAGCTGAGACATGGATTGTGTATCCCTGTTTCTCCTCATCACATTGCCTTTCAGACTCCTGCATATCCCAAAAAGCAAACTCCCCGTAGAATTCAGTGCTGTTTCAGTTCGTGCCTTCTGAATTCCCAAAATGCAAAAAGCAAAATTTTGCGGGACAAGGAAATGAAACAAACGAGCAGAAAAAGATATCAGTCGGGTATCTTTTGTTTTCAGTCAAAGAAGCACTGCATTTCAAGATAAGGAGTTCGAAATGCATCAAACACATTGAAATGAAGGAACGGCTTTTGGGGTATAAAAAAAGTGACAGAAGCAGTTCAAAAAGCGCCAGTAAACGCGTGCTAATAGACACCATAACAATCCCACCGAAAAACGGCTGATAATGAGCTCGCGTCAACGCACCAATAAACAGAACTGATCCAAAACTCACCACTTTCTACATGAAAAAACCAACGATTAAAACACGGAGCAAAACTAAAACACACATCTATTACACACCACTCATAATACAAGAGATCATTATTTCATCTTAGCTCATTTATGCAGCCTTGTGTCTGACTGCTAGTGTAGGCAGGCGCAACACTGCTTCTGCCGCAACGTTGTTTTCTTACTTTTTCAGTAAAAAATTGTTATCGAACTCATTTACTGGGTAAATGAGGCACCGCTTCACACAAGCGTCCAAATTTGGCACCCCTGAACCACTTCCTTCTCTTTACGAAATAGCACCTTGTCTAACCAGTATTTGCCACTGAGTTACGACATTGATATTAGGTTTCAGAAGAAAATATAAAAGACTTCAAAAGACTACAGCTCAGGAATAAAACAAGGGCAAGCTACCCAATCACAGTAAATACAAGCTTGCCTCTATGCGGAATTTAAATGCATCGTCTTAGTCTTTTAATTAAATTATCAAAATTCGGCTATGTGTTTCTCGCCACGGCAGGCTAGCAAATTTAATCCAGCTGCAGTATATAACGATTTTAAGCCCACTGTCCTCTTCCAATTCACAGGTATTCACTGTTTATAATTCTAAAATTTCCACAACACTTCAAAAAGTACACAAAAACAAAATTAGTATGATGCACAGTTGAGTGTTTCTGAAAATTCTGTATGAAAGTTATGGCTATATTAATGCTGCTCGAAAAAATACAGCTTTGAAATGTGGCTGCACGAAACGACCCAAACAATCCTTACAACTCAGTTAGTGTTTCAATGCGAAATATTTATGCTGCAGACTAAACAATGCGAGAACAAACACGAATAGTCCAGTTAAAATTAAGAAGCTCTGCTAAGTGGTACCAGAAGCTGCAGTGAGAAAATGTTACAAGCAAGCTTCTCGATGAGCGCTTGCTCCGATATCAAAAAGTGTGTGGTGCGAAAGTTGCCCACCATCTAGCAGTTTTAAATCACATGCACCGAAAGTGAATTCATTCCTAAAAAGAGACTAAGTGGATAATTTCGAATGAAATAAAACGAGGTGGATGAAAGACAATCTGGAAAAAAGGAAAGAAATGAATGGATTGAAGCGTGAGCGCAGGCACACACACACATATATTAACAAACATATGCGTCTCTTATTGTTTACTTTATATAACAACTTTTCGGAGGGACCATTTTGGCTCCTTACTGTATATAACAAAAGCATACTTTGCATGCATATAATATGAAAAACGTATTTTCCAAGACTCACAAGAGAGTCTTGACTCATGTACAATGATGGTCCAAACAAACTGGCCAGAAGCAGTACTTGCTCGCTGAAAATTCATCTCTCTGCCATTAAATGTATTCGTTATACAAAAAGCAGGGAATGGAAGAGGATGAAAACACACCGCTGATCAACACGAGCGTGTGGAAAGGAAAAGTGCGAAAAACTGAGCCAAAAGGCGCGAAATTTGAGCAAATAAATGCAAAATCCTACCAAAAGAGACATGGAATTCATCAAAACCAGCAATAAAATTGAATGGAAAAATGTTTCTGTTGAAAAGCGAAAAAATTGGCGCTGAAATGCTAAAAAAATTCCATAAACAAATGGGAAGCAAAACTGACATCATCTGGGACGGAA